TGGCAGCGGGGCCCGCCGAGGACCCGCACGAGCGGTCAGTACGCGGGAGCAGGCGCGGAGCGAAATGGTGCACGCGGCCCAGCCGGCCGTTAAACCACCATGTAAACAAACGCGCGGCGCCACCGGTAGCTCTCCAACGTAACTCTTGCTGCTACCCCTCCCCTCCTTCTCCTCTGCTTACGTTAGCGTGGCTGGGGCTAGGTGCAGTGGCGCTGCTGATATTTCAGAACTGAATTGTAAACTGTAGTGATGGAAACCGCGTCAGATCACAAGGTGCTGGTTTGCAGAATTAAACCACCATGTAAACAAACGCGCGGCGCCACCGGTAGCTCTCCAACGTAACTCTTGCTGCTACCCCTCCCCTCCTTCTCCTCTGCTTACGTTAGCGTGGCTGGGGCTAGGTGCAGTGGCGCTGCTGATATTTCAGAACTGAATTGTAAACTGTAGTGATGGAAACCGCGTCAGATCACAAGGTGCTGGTTTGCAGAAAGGTTGGTGTTGCCCAGAATGATCAAAGCCCGCAGCCCTCCCTTTCACAAACTCCATCCTCTCCCCCAGCTGCCTCTGGGAGAGAGAGAGGGGGATTCAAGCTCTTCCAGGGAGTTTGTGTTCATGAGCTTCAAAGGGGTAACCAAGTTAGTCTGTAACAGGAAAAACTTTGAAAACAACAAATAGATTACTAACACCTTAAAGGCTAACAAAACATGTTGCTGGCATCATGAGCTTTCCTGGGCACAACCCACTTCTTCAGATGACAGTATCAGAAGTTCAGATCCAAGAATAAATAAGGGAAGGGGAAGAGGAGAAAAAGAAGAGGAGGAAAGGGGAAAAATAAAAAGAGGCAGTGAGTAGATGGTTTAAATAGTTACAACAGGCTAATAGGAACAATTAACCTACCAACCACACAATAGAGGTGCTAAGTCATAGGATGTGGAAGGTAGTGTGCCAGCCCGCTGATGTCCTTCTGTAACCTTGGGTGGGTTAGACTTCACTGCCCTTCTTCAGTGTCTTAAAAAAAAACCCCACTCCCACAGCAGTACTGGAGATGCAGAGTTCAGTCTGTAAGGAATTTCAGCAAGGATTGCCCAGTGTCAGCCTCCCTATATTCAAGTTCCAAAAGAAACTAAAGAAATTAATTTAATTAAATAACTTTATAAAATCTTGTGAAGAAACAATCTAATTCTTACAACAAAACACAGCTATTTTATAACCCACAGATAATGTCCATAGTTACAGTAAACATAAGTAAAGAGAAAACTAAAAGTAAAATTTGAACGGTTCAGTCTATAGAAACACAGTAAGAAAAGACTGAGAGGTCCCAAAAGCTTAGATTTAGTTCACCAAAGTCTCAGTTTTGTGCTTCTGATATCAAATCTGCACCATATGCTGAGTCTGAATGATCGCTCCACTTGCTTGTAATCCTCAGTTGGCATCCAGGCAGTCTCTTCCTCTGCTATGGTCACTGCTAGGCAGCCAGCTCACGATTAACTACCGTATATTCCGGCGTACAAGACGACCTCTGATGTTAAAAACCATCCCCCAAAAATCGGGGGTCGTCTTGTACGCCGGGTATACATCCCAGGCGCGCCTGGGATGCCCCACCGCCGGAGTGCTTGTAATCCTCAGTTGGCATCCAGGCAGTCTCTTCCTCTGCTATGGTCACTGCTAGGCAGCCAGCTCACGATTAACTACCGTATATTCCGGCGTACAAGACGACCTCTGATGTTAAAAACCATCCCCCAAAAATCGGGGGTCGTCTTGTACGCCGGGTATACATCCCAGGCGCGCCTGGGATGCCCCACCGCCGGAGCCCCTCCGCGGCTTTCA